CTCCTTAGCCACTGAAATTTGCACCAGTTATATGCAACCCCTAAATTTTGTAGTCATGCACCTCTGTTTAATGGCACAGGGTGACACTGAATACCATCAAAATCAATGTGACCTTCACATGCAAACAACCACCAATATTTATTTCTGTTCTCGAGGATGCATTTCAGAATCTAAATTTAGGCACTTAGGAAGGACAAAGGACAGACAGAATCTTTATTGGAAAACATAGACAATATCCAATGTTTCTCATGCTTTACCAAGACTAATCTGCTTGAGCAACTTTAGCTGCCACCTATTCTACTCAGATCTAGCCAAGATTGCTGTGTTTAGGTTCAGGACAGTTTGGAGGATAATCAGGAAGATTCCCAAGCCTTTTTCAGCCCCTGGTCTGTAAAAGCCCTTTTGTTCTGGTGGATAAGCAGATCTAAGCTTCACATACTTCCTACATGAAATTGCTTTCCATTCCCCAGTTCTCTATCTGTTTAAATCCTATTAAACACCTTGGCACCCACAGAATATGGGGATAAATATATACTGAATGTTATTTCCTCCTCCTCAGATGCCTTACTTCCTGGTCTGCAAAGTACTGTGGTATCAGTAAGATCACAACAAATCTGTTTAAAATTACTGTGTCCTTGTATCTTTTTTGAAGGGCTCTTCCTGCAGGATATTAAGTTCTGTAAAACTCTGCAAGACATATTTCTTTCTCAGGATAAGGTGACCCTAAGGTTTAATGGGCTGAAAATGTTACTGTAACCTGTGGTTTTATCTAGCAGCTGTTATCTAGACCTTCGATAATAGTTTAAAACTATTTTGAGCATACGTTTTTAGTCCTGGTCAACTTCAGAAAAACAGGTATATTAAATGCTTATTAACATTACAAGTGCTGTTCTTGGACACTTCTCCTAAGCCTCTGGTCCAGCTCTGTCTGCCTGCACTGACCTTTGCTATGTCTTTGTTCTTAGGACAGTTCCTTGGGTTTCAGTCAGATTATAACCCTGGCAGAGGAACAGATCAAAAACTGGGCTGGTTCCCTGTGCTGTAGGATACCTCAGTAAAAGCTGGCACAACATAAATTTAGATCAGGTGATGGTGTCTAAGGTCTCTGAAAACAGCCTATCCACCCAGAAATACATTCTGGTAGCAGCATCATTCACTTGCTCCTAAGCTTTATCTTAAAATGATGGCAGCAAAAAAAATTCCATATATTAGGAACAGTTATAAACCCATGGACAAAACCATGCATTGTACCACTGTGGAAATGTCAAATGTCTTCTGGTTTTAAAATATTTCCCTGCAGATTTACATTTCATTGTGGTGCGGTGAAGAAACCCCTCCTTCAGGAAATGCAATGGTTATGTTATTTGGGCAGCTACTCCAATGGTGCCATGATTCTTAAATTAGGCTTCTGACAACACATAGCAATAATATTTACAGCCTCTCTCAGCTCAGTTATAGGAAAATTAACAAAGATATGTGGAAGTGAACTGGTTTTGGTCAGTGGTGGCTTCAGTATTTAAGTGTTTGCACTACCTGCAGAAGGCAGGTCTGAGATCCTCAGCAACTGATAAGAAAAATCATCATCAAACACATGAAAGGATTAAATCCCCAAAACTCCTTATTCAAGAATAATATTTCCTCCCTGGCTAAAGTAATGCAAGACCATTTCCTTTAGGATAAACTAGCAAATTATCTCATCAGCATGAAAAAAGAAGGTAGATTAATGCTGACACAGAAATGGAAGTCTATCTTCCATAAGTATTTTCTCATGGAGCTGAATTACATGCAACCAACTAATCACTTCCTGCAGCATTAAAGCCATCATCAGTTCAGGGAGTAGTTCAGCTGAGAAGGATGCCACACTTGCACCCTAGGTATAGAAATGATCCTGGGTGCCCCAAGTAGTTCAATTAAACAACTTGCTTTTTCACAAGGTAATTTGGATCAAAAATAATCCTTTTGCCTTACATAGCATTTGTGCAGGTAAAGGATCAATTTAGACAGTAAATCATTTTCAGATATGTCCCTATTCCATAGGATGAAGATGGTCTCAAAGCATGAAGTGAATAATTTCTATCAACAAAGACAAAAAGATATTTAACAGAATAATTGTGCCAGCTTACAGTTCATGCAGAATATGAGTGTCAGAGGTCTCTGCAGGCAAGGCATAAACTGCATCTGTCTGTGCATTGCTTTTGTCAGCTGAGCACTGGTCCTCTGGGAGCTAAAGCTACATAAGGGCTCACATTTGGGATTCTGAGTATTCTCCTTTTAACAACTTAACCTTTCAACATCTGATTTGTCAGGCTGGAAATTTGTCACTTCACATGTTCGATTTCCATTGTTTTCTGAACAGTACAGCTTAAACTAGCAGCAGTTTCTTAAATATACATAGAATTATTGTGTGGATTGGAAATATATTACAGTAGAAATCCCGTGGAAGTGGCAATTTACAAAGTTTTTTTCTGAAAAGACAGAAGAATTTGAGATCGTGCAGATGGCATGCTGACAGAAAAATCTAGATTAATTTGCCAGCCAGATTAAAAAAAATAAATCTGCATACCAGCAATTTTTCTGTATATGCTTTAGAAGTTTTCTTTTTTGGCATGTATTAAATCTTCCATGAAAAACCACTAAGAACTCAACCAATTTTATTTTAATGCAAATTCCAAAGTTCTGTCAGAAGGCTTCTCTTTGGCAACAACCAAGAGGGTATAAATAATTGCTAGAGTATTACACATTGAATAGTTGCTGAGAAACCAAAAGAAAATTATTTGCCAGGTATTTAAGAATGAGCAATATTAGCACCTTTACTAAGGACAAAATTAGAGCCAAGCAATTTATACCTACAAGAAGGTCTATAAATAGGATTGCCTTTCAGCAAATCAGTTGTCACCACTGATGGGGCTGAAAAAACGTAATAATGGGTTTCAAAGTGGCTGCCTACTGATCAATTTATTCCAAACTCCAGGTACATTTAGGAGAACTGCAGCTCTGAATGAGCATGGGAGAGAAGGTCCCCTTGGATGCCATTCCTGTAACACAGTCCAAAATAAAGTCCTTCTCCACCCTCACCCCACCAAAAGTGAGGTGTTGTACATCCTCTAGAGTCACCTAAAGCTCCATTCCAGCTCAAAATCAGATTAAATCTGAAATCCAGGTGGAACATTGGGTAATCTGCCATCAGATTGTCAGTTCATATGGTTTTCATTTTTATGGTTTGGATTTTCCTGACTAAGAGCACTCTGTTTCCATTATTAGGTTGTCTGAAAATGTTTCTATTTAGCACACGACCCCTTTCTCCAAAGGAATTACAGGAGAGCTTTACGAAGATTTTCAAATGCAGAATTGCAGCCTGTCACTTTTTCTTCACACAGCTCCTAGCCCAGCTGTGAATTCGTGGGGGTGGATGTGTGGGGGAGTTGCAGTCTTCTTTCTTCTTCTTCTTCTTCTTCTTTCTTCTTTCTTCTTCTTCTTGCTGATGGGAAAAGGCAGCAGAGGAAAAGCAGAGAGAAAAGGCAGCTCCAACACCCATGTCACCACGGAGCACAGCAGCAGAGGGTGACAGCTCCAAGGGAGATCCTGGACATCCCAGTGACATCACTCAGCAACCCCTGCTGCCTCAAATTCCATGCAATTTTAAAAACACCACTGCTGGCAAGTACAGGATATGCTTATTTTTTTAAAGCAAGAAGCGGGTCACAGCTCATCAGCTCGGGGGAATTTTGACAATTGATCCAACCAGGAGCTCTGAAAGCAGAAGAGCTTCTCCCAAGCACACAATAGCAAGGAGCATGAACCTTTAAGTATGCTTCAAAAAAGCCTGCATGTATTGAAGATCAATGTCTAAGAGGCACTTAAAAAGATGCCTGTTTTTCAGGAATATATCTAAATTAGTGAATTTGCACTGAGAAACTTAGCTAAAACCTATCTAAACCTAGAAACTTAGCTAAAATAATTTTCTCTGTATTAGTTATTCAGACTACATTTTCAACACCTATCTCTGACTCTGAAGTGCCAGGGCCAGCTGAAGCCAATTGAGAGAAACACAGTTGGCCAGGGCCAATCTGATCATAAAGAACCCAGATTTTCTATCAGTGATTATGTACCCACAAACAATATATCTCAAGTGCAAACCTGTATTAGTTCATAGGGGATAATTCTGAAAATATTGTCAACATTTATGACAGTACTAATTGACTATATCATCTATAGGCAGAAGTAAACAACAGATATTTTCCTAGAATCCACATTTGTTCTAATGAGAAAGAACATGGCTGGATTTAGTCAACAATCAGCTAACTGAGAAAGCTTAATCCATCACTAAAAGCTGGCTCTGATTTTCTGATCAATGTCCTAATATGGATAGAGTTTACACCAGGCTTGAGGGAATCAGGAATCCTTAGGAAAAAGTGTTACAGGCTCTGCTCTGTACAGAAGTGTCCCCTAAAAAAAGTCCAGATGAATGAAATGTTAGCATTGCTCAAAAAAAGGGCTGATTGCTCACTATTCTTCTTCAGTGAAAAGGTAGAGGAAATCCACTACTTGAAAGCTCCACTCATGTCTAGAATTGGGTCAATCACCCAGATAATCACTTCTTTCTTAAACCATGTCTCCACCAGAAATATTCTCAGGATGAATCCTTATGAAGGAACCACTGAATCTACCCTTCTATGTCCAACAGGATATAGTCATTTGATACTAACTTAAGAATACCTGTCAAGAATAACATTGGGCTTTATCTCCCCTGGAAACAAACTGCAAACTTGCAGGAAATGCACCTTAAATGGCAGCTGTTAATCATGGGCTGATAGAAGTGCTGTGCTGGGACTTGGTAATCAAGGTTCATTTTCTGTTTTTTCACAGGGTCAGCTGGACTCTGCCCACACTTCTTCAGTAAGAAGGCTTAAAAATCCATCCTTCACCTGCCCTTTTGCCTTATCCAAGAGACCTTCCAGGATTCTGTTTAAAGTTTTGCTATTCACTTTTATTATGACAGCTAAAAAAAAGAAAAAAAGATGGGAGACCTGATCTTTCTGGACTACAGCAATAGAAGATGAACCTTCCATTCATTTAAAGGTGAGATTTTCTCAGTTTGTTTTTTGGCTTTGTGTGCTCAGAGGTATGTGTGCAGATTGTAGTACTCCTATTGCCTTGGAAACATTTTTGCACTGATTTGAAACATGCATCAAACAAAAATTCACGTTCATAGTTAGTCTGAACTAACTTCAGCAGTTTCCCTTATGACATGCAATAGGGATGGAAAAGCCACAAGTCTGTCACAATGCAGTGTTGTTAGTGCTGCCTTCATTAGAAGCTGAAACTACAAACTTGGAAGCCTCACTTTCAGTATGTAAAAACCCAGCATTTATTTAAGAGTCACTTTTTAAAGAAATACGGTCCCAACTGTCATTCCCAGCTATTTAATCACAAGGGGCTTCTTAGGAATATAAAGCAGGAAGTGATTAAGTTAAATTAGAGTCAGTATCTACAAGCCTCCCCTTAAAAAATCAGTATATTTATATCTATATTTATAGTTATAGTTTAGTTATAGTTGTTATATTTATAGTTATAGTTATGGTTATGGTTATTTATAGTTATGGTTATAGTCATATACATATATTTATATATATTCCTGAGGGCTGTTCAAACATTGTATCTGAATGAGTGAGACTGTTAATGGATGAAAATTACAGTATGCACTTGCTATCCACATTGAACTAATCTATGATACAAAGAAGATTTAAAGAAAATTTGAAGATTACAAACAGTAGTGTGCAGCAAAGCAAAACCTTAGAGTGAACTCTTAATACCTCACTTATTTTCCTAATTTTTTCATAACAATCTTGCAATGTATGTGAAGACTCCAAGCCATCATTTCACTTCTGCTCCTTTCCACCAAAATTATCCTCTACCTCTTGAATCATCCCTACAAGCAATATTCTGCTTATACTGGATAAAACAGTAGACGAAGATGCTTGTTTTAAAACTAGATACTTGCAGTATTTCTTTTCCATGCTCTGTTACATTCTCCATTACTGTGTGTGTTGCACACCCCGTGATGGGGAGGTGTAGATCATCTTGACTGCTGTGGCAGAGCCAAGGGAAAAGATGGTGCTCAGCAGCTTTTCCTTCAAACCCACCCCTCTTCTTCCTGAACAGGCCAGATTCTTCCAAATGTCTCACAGTCTTCCCTTTTTTTTTATTGCTTTGGGTTTTGTATAAGTGCTCAATACTCTCTTTTTCATGACATTAAACAGCATATGGTCCCGGGTACCTTGAGCATGCTCCTGAGAGAATCCCTGTTTTCAGAGAGTTTGCTGCCAAACTGGCAAGCAGCTTTTTAGTTCCCCAAGCCCAGCGACATTTCCTCAGTATTTATGATCTTTTTTGTGACAGAGAACTCGGGGATGTTCTCGGAGCCTGAATGCCCAGCTTGCCTGTTGTTTCTGACAGCTGGAGGACAGATGTGCAGAGAGGCTGGCAGGGCACAGCTGGGTTTGACACTGCTCAGATTACTCACAGGACTGCATGCTGCCACAGGTGAGCAGGCTGTGTGCTGGCAGCAGTGGCATGAAGCCAGAGGCTTGGGATCCTTCCTTTTTGATTTTCAAAGTTACAATACCAATTCTTAATTCCTTCTGATGATTTCTACAAGAGCTCTGTATAGGTCACTACAATATCCACATCACACTCTTCCCTGACAACAATGATTTTATAATTTCTCCTGATTTGAACAAAACCCAGATCCCGTCATTGATACTTGCCAAGTTTGTTAAGCATCTTCATTTAAAAGGCTGTGAATCACTTGAGGTAATTTAGGTCCTATATCCTACTTCATAAAGGAAGTTCTTCAGCTTGAAATGTAACATGTATCTCTCCAAATCAAAAGAGGTTCTAAAGAAGATAATTACACGCACAGAATAAGGAAACACGAAAGCTACAATTATATATTCAGCTACAGCTCTGGTTATGATTATTTTGCCGTGTGATCTCTTGAAAAATGCCATCCCATTCTCCACTTCCAAGCAGGCTGCAGTGAGAGCTTCTCTGATGTCTCTTCTTCTTCTGTGGAGACAGACCCTCTCTCCTCTACCAAGCCAAGGTTCATGGAACAAAGTTTCTTCCCCAAGACATGCATAAGTAATGACCTTGATGTGCCACAAGAAGTTAGTTCTGTCTCAAAAAGAGGTGAAATCTCTCCAAGCCACAATTTTTTAGCCATGTAGGGTTTGGCTGACTTCGCCTTACCCTTGATACATAACATCCATGTCAGGTGTCCACCTGACTTTCAGCAAGGCATTAATGCCAAAAATTTAAATCCATTCTTAATTTGCCCTTCTGCCTCTGCCTGTCCAAATTTTTGCCTGAAGACATCTTGACAGGGAAGGTCGAGGCTCTGAAACACGCTCACACATCAATGATCCACCTTCCAAACAGAACTTCCTCTCCACTTATGTTTTTATCCATAAAGCCTCCCAAAAGCTTCATTCTCTTGTGCAATCCTACCAGTGCCCCCACCTTTCTGCTTTAGAGATCAATTTCTCCCTGTTTTCATCCTATTTAGTTACTACTCCCTGTGGCATATTTTCATAGCAAACAGAGATAAAATACTTACACGTTGTTATAAATTTAGTGGAGTCAAACACTCTTTCTGCTTTCTTTCATTTAAGGGATTGGTGAGAGAGGGTGTTTTGTTTTTTCAATACAAATATCCTTGGGGTATAAAGCAGTCCAGATGGCCTCTGCTCACCACTGCTGACAGTAAGACAAAACATTGACAAAATAGTCAATCTTACCTGCACCTTCTGTTGAGAGGACTGAAAAGGGAACTAATTAATGAAATTAGCATAAAGCAGATCTTGAGCTGGACTATTCAGTCCTGAGGCAGGACAGGTATTCTTTGTTCTCACAGCTTTTCTGGTGGGGAGAAGGGTGGCAGTCAGGAGATAATTGCAGTGTGCTGGGGCAGCATTCATAGGCAGCAGGGATCCTTTCAGCCAGGGCTGCCAAGACAAGACAGGCAGGGCACTGAGCTTTCCCCACCTGCAAGGCCTTTTGCCATTTTTAGAGCAATTTTTAGAGCTTTTCCTTGGTGCATGGGGAGGGCTGGGGAGTCCAAATCATTTGTTTTCCTTCCCTCAGTTCTGCTGAGCATCCAGGCTTTTCGCTGCTGCTTTCAGAGATAAAGGCTTGCCCATCCTCTTCCCCATTTTCAATCTGGGAAGCAAATTTTAGGAGGAAGAAAGTAAATCATCATTTTCCAGGCTTCTCTTTTTCTGAGTTAGAAGCAGGAAATGCTTTCCTGGCAGGGCAACTCTGAGCTTGCAGCAGCAAAGAAAGCAGAGGCAAAAACTAAGTGCAGGCCAATGAAAAGAATATGGATAGGTTGTGGTATGAAATTTGTTTACTTTTCTGGTATCTGTTGATTGTCCAAAGCCTCAGTATTGCAATATCTACCTCCAAACCCTCCTTCTGTAACCCCAGAGATGGGAATGTCATGAGCTGTCCTGAAGCACAGCAGTGCCAGGAAGCAGAATCACATGAGGGACCTCGTTAGGAGAGCAAGGTGCTTCAATATTTCCTTATTTTCTGTAAAAAGGGCCATGCATGCAGGGGAATTGCTTGTAGCCAAACCATCTGAGTCAGAATGAGCTGCTGGAATTGCAGTTTCTCTGTGGAAGGGGAAGGGCAACTATTTGGAGCAAAGCTTTGGTTGCCCTGGTGTTGGTTTTACATCTGACCCAAAGGGTCACTTCTTAATAAGCCTCTAGCAGGATAAAACAAGATAACAAATGTTTTGATGCCACTTAGCTTGTGTTGATGCATGGGAGACAAAAGCAATCCATTTCAGGGAACAGCTACAGCAGAGGAAACTGATGTTCATATAACCCCTTGCTCTCTTACCACTGAATAAACACACACAGAACTCAAAAAAGAAAGTTTTCTCTTACAGTAGAGTTTGTGCCTGCCCAAGTCTCGGAGAGAGCTGACAAAAATGGACTCACAGATGGTGCAGTGCAGGGCCAGGAGCTGGACTCAGTGCTTCTTGATCCCTTCCAGCTCTGCCTGTTCTGTGACCTCCTTCCTGTAGCTGCAGTTTTAAATACACCTCTGAATACAAGGCATTAATCTTGTTTAATCTGAAGGCAGGACAGGCACACACCTCGGGCTGCTCAGGATGACTGCATACACTTAGACTGTGTTTAAAATTCATATATTCATTATTTATAATGATAATTCATATATTTTCATATATAATTCATAAATTCATTTATTTGTCTGAACACAGCCACGGACACTGTTCCTTCTCAGTAGTCTGTTTCCATTTTTTGCTTGAGAGGATTCCCAGGGAATACATGAAAGCTGAGCACACTGTTCAGCCATCGTAGCAAAGAGACATATGGAGAGAAGGAGTGTTACTTCAGAATCTGCTTTTTTAACCAGGCAAATATGCCAGCTGCTTTTAAACTCTTCGCAGGTTTTCAGTGCTGCAAATAATCTTGAGATGCAGCCCTAAAAGGGAGTGTGAGCAGGTGGTCAAAGTTCAGGAAAAACTCCACTTGATGCTTCAGCATGTATCATCTATTTCCATTGAGGTGAATATTACAGCATGCCCAATATCATAAATAATTGAAAGTGCAACACATTTATAGTTCTTCAGTGGTTGGGCTACAAAAGGGTTTACGAGTTAGGTTGGAATTACTCAAAAGAGAACAAATTTCTACTATTTAGAAGAGTTGTGACGTGCAGAGAGCTTTTAGAAACAGAACAGGGTTCTGCAGAAAGAGAAATTTCCACATAACAGATGACATTATCACCTAATGTGCTTCTGCAAGGCACTTGGCTGAGGGATATGGATATAAATAAAATAGGAACTGGGCACAGATAAATACAAAATCTCCTAGCACAGATAAACTAAGGCTGTGGACCAGTGAGAAAAACACCCCAAGTTCAGAGCCCAGAGTTCACCTTCACAGGTACAGGAGCCATTTGTGGTATCTAGAACCTCAGAAAGGGGATAAAACAAACCAGAAAACTTTGTAATAATTCAGGTAGCAAATAGCAATAACTTCCCA